AGGCGCTAACATATTACAACTGAGCTCTTTAGGCACGCAAGTTGTACTTTACGTCTCAGGTAAAAAATATACTATCATGATACAATACTTTCAGAAAGGTTGAAAGTTTAATTAAGTTGTGTCATTTTGTATCTGCAAACGACGGAATAAAATGGTATGAAAATATGTATAAAGGACAATTTTTTTAGTCCTACACTGAGAAAGAACTCGCGCGTCTGCTGCTCCACAAGTACAGCCGTTGCGCCAATTAACCAAGCAGCCCTTGACTATATCAGTGGATCATCAACTGCACCACTTGGGCCGACTGAGCGTCCAGTGTGGATCGTCATTACGTACTTTACATAGTGCAGCTACCAAATGTGTCTATAGTCCGTCAGCCAGTCCAACATACGGTACATCACTTGGTATATGGTACAGCAACCCGTATATAAATACTTACTCTTTTTATAACTATTTCATGTAACGTATAGTGCTTCAGTATTTATTGCGGATGTACGTTAAATGAAGGATAGACCACTTCTTTCAAAGATATACAGCATGTTCCGATGACTTCATGAAGTGGTGTCATGGTAAATGACCTTTTTTTTTAACTCTCATAACCTTATTTTTATTAGACATAAATATTTATATTAAGATAATATAAGTGATATTCTTCTCTTGCCTTTATTTAAATGAAATAACGGAAATAAGTTTAATTTAAAAAAATTAACAACTTTCACCTATATTAACTATATTCATAAATCGTTTAGTATGTATTGCCGGGTTGACAGGGGATTTAAGATATAGTGAAAAGTTTGTTTAAACAGTATACTGGCTACAATAATAAGGAAAAAATTTCATTTTTGTTATCAGTCAACGTATGCTGGAATATTTGTTTTTTTATGATAAAAGTGGTAGTATTTGTAAAAAATATTTTAATTCAAATTTTTGATTAAAATGAACAAGTTTTTCAAAATGGAAAATGAAACAAAGTGGCTTTCTGAGTCATAATGCGTTTAAACTCAACGCATTTTGATCGACGAATAAATACAGATAGGATTTTATTCTTATGCTTAACGTATGGTACACTGTATGATGCAGTACTTGCGCTAGCCTAACAGCTCAACGCTGAAGCCAGTCTAGTGGTGCAGCTGACGCGCTAGTCTGGTGTCCCGTGCGTTCCAAACAAGCGGCAGCTCAACCGCGCCACCTTAAGAACGGATCATGCGCTAGGTTTCTCTCAGTGTACTAACCTTCATATACTTTTCCTGATCTTGGGCATTGTGTTTTTTAGATTTAAGGTTAAGGCGCCGTAATAAGGGGACAAGGTTCCACCTTGTGTGTGTATCCAGCAAAAGCAAGCACAAAGAGTCAATCAGGCAAGCCCTCGAATGCTTGCCATGGTGACACGTGGCAAAAATGCAAAAACGACTTTGTTTTGATTTAAAAATAATTTCGATAGAATATTCATCGACGATGTCGAATATTTATTGAATGCCCGTTTTTATACTGACTTATTATATAACCGTTTAAAAAGATTAATAAAGGGAAAAATTTTTTTTTGCAATTAGGTATGTGTCTTAACTGACAACAGGCTAGTAGAATCAAATATAATAATATATTATGGCCCAAAATATTTTCTGACCCAAATTTATGTGTAATCTTACTGGCACAAACTTTTTTTGGATTTGAAAAGTTTTTTGATAGAAAAGTTATCTAGGATATCAAATATTTATATAATGTCCATTTTTACCTTGACTTATTATATAATCATATAGGAAGATTAATAGAAGAAAAAAAGTTTTGTTGCAACCAAGTAGGTGCCTAAACTGACACCACGCTAATAGAATTAGGTATAACGATGTATGTTGATTAGATATAATAATTACAACTTTTTGTAAAATCTCTCTGATAGTGTATTATTTAAACATCACTTGTTTTTATAACTGATTTTTATTGTAAGTATCTTACATATTTTATTACTCGAAAACTATGTAACTTTTTTTTTTACAAGCACAAATTTCAGATATTGAACATGACCTTAGATTGTATTGCGATACATGTATAAATCCACACGCAGATGACGGTGTACCAAACTATGAAGGCTCTAACCTAAGAAAAATTTCAGTAGCTTCAATTCAAAAGAATGTGATTCTCTTGTATGCAATAATTAACGATACACGGAAAATTGTTGTTACCAGAATAAGCTATACCAAAAGTGATGAGCATAGAAAAATAACACATTACAGGTCTTGAGATTTCTGCAACTAGTCTCACATTTTAACATACTTATCTGGATCACCGAAAAACCTGTGACTAGTCGGTTTTATAACTATACTAGTACAAGTTTTTCAATAGCTTTGGTACAGGATTTTTCTGTACCATGGATAGTCTATTAAATTTGTATACTGCGCATGGCTTTCTACTGTACCGCGCATAGTACGTGCCCTTATATATAGTGGAGATATGTATATACATATATGCATACATGTATAGAATTGTCATTGTTATTTTGGTTCAATATGTAAATTGTTCTTTGCGAGTGAAAACTTATATGCATGCATATATATCCGAACATGTTGATGAATATTCATTACAAGTATTCTTATATACATACAGCTCCCAGTCACGTGATGGCTCTGTCGGTAGCGTGTCTGTCTACAGATCTTGATGGCCGGAGTTCAAATCCCACTCTAGACAAAAATTATTTTTTAATAAATGAGGTTTTTTTCTGGGTAGAATTTAAGCTTCATTAAACCTACCCATTGCCCTACCGTTTCACATACCGTAAATTAACCAACGTATAGCTAAATACACTATACAGTATCAAAATAGCCATGTCTATAAGGGGCGATGACGAAAAAAAAAAAAAAAGTATACAGCTACGTATTTATGTGTGTATATATATATATATATGCTGACATTCTGAATGCTCCCACTGGCCGACTAACTTTCTGTACTGGTACAGGAAAAGCCCGTACCACGTATCGGATTGCGACGTACTAAGCATAAGGTTTAGCTATACTCAATAAGGTACTTTAAAGTATACTACCGTACCAAATATACCTGTACCAGTACACATTTTTTTTGTACAGAGTATCGAAAATACTTGTACTAACATATAGAACCTTTTTTTTCTGGTAACAACAATTTTCCGTGTAAGGGCGTCCACTCAAACGATTCAGTGATACATCTCAAAACAATATTTGCGAAACTTCTGCTGATGCAGGCAGTAATAATATTTCAGAGCTTACTAACTTAAATATTCAACTCAATGCAGTTGACATTTTAGATAAAAATTTAATATCGCTTGTAAACGAATTAGAAGATTTATTACAAGGACTGAAAGACAAATTTTTAAGTCTATAAGGTAACAATCTTATGAAGGTAAGAATTCTTATTATACGTCCACTGTCACGGAGCTGTACGAAAATTGCAAAGGAGTGTAACACAACAAAATATTTAGCTCAAAAGCTAATGAACTGAAAAATAGTGGTGGCTTTTAGCTGAAATTCCAGTTCTAGTTCGAAAACGTACTTTGCATGTTGATGCTGGAATGATTAACAAGTTCTATAATAACGATCTTATAAGCAGAATGATGCCTGGAATTACAGACGTTATTTCCGTAAAACTTAAAAATAAGCATATGAAAGTACAAAAATGTCTTTAAATGTTAAGCCTTAAAGAATTATTTATATTATTTGAGAAAGATCATTTAGATGTAAAAATAAGTTTTAGTACGTTTGCAAAACTCCGACCAAAGCACTATATTTTACCTGGAGCCAGTGGAACACAATCCATGTGTGTTTGTGTGACATCCCATGTCATATACTTAATATTTATTACTTCGAAACACAGAGTTTCGTTTTTAAATTATAAAAACCAGGTGTAGGTCGTGATACCCACGACAGATGTGAAATATTAAAGAATATGTTATTGAGCTCATTATTATTTGTTTGTCTATGATGAGAATCGTAGTTTTCATCAGATAAGTGCTATCGTCTCCAGGGCTATTTTGCGACCCAAGGGACCTGCGAAACAGGGTCCCAGAGATGTAAGGCAGCCACGGAGCAATGGCGTTTACGTGGCGAATCCTATTTTTTCTACCGAGTGCACACCAACCTCTCAAAAATGCATGAGATAAGAAAGGTATTGATTTTTTCGACTCTCAATAATCTTAATTTCATATTTTTATTTTAAAACGACAGTTTATTTATACGTATGGAATATGTATTTTGATCATTGAATACTATAGATTAGGAAAAAGCAAATTATGTTTGTATTTTTTTTATTCACTAACATATAAACAACGACAACGAGAAAGAATAATAATAGATGGCGAAGAGTATCTATACTACCTACCTACACAAAGGTACATTAGTTTAACAACCGTTCGTGTGTATTACTTTCTCTGTCTCTTTGTCTCTTTTCGGATATCTGTTCACTGTGCGTAGTTGCGCACGTGCGCAAATTACGTTGGTTCTTTACTAAAGATGGGTTAAGATGGAGTTTAAATGAACACAATTGAAAGACATTATTACTGTAGTATTTATAAATAATTTATTGGAATCGTGAAATTGATAAGTTTTTCGTTTATTTTAAAAACAGTATATTTGATTCAACAGTATAGGTAGCATAGGCAGAGTTTAGCAGAAAAACTGACCTTATGGAGTTCCATCAAGTTGCAGGTTATTTGTGGGATTTGTTCGATGAAGAACAAAATCGTTTTGAAAGACGTATCCGTTTTTGGCAAGTCAAGTTACGAAGAAAATGGCTTCGTGATACCTCCAACCCTTTCGAAATAAATGTGGAGTGTTTTTGCAAACTGTACAGGTGACTGAAACCATATTTTGTCAACATGAAACAGTTGATAAAAATTAGTTCTACGTAGCTTCTTGAAAGGTAGAAATTATATCTTAAAAGGTTTCTGCGAATTCATAAATTTCTTTCTATTATAGGTTTACACAAGTAGAAGCTATGTGATTAATTGAAATGCTCAATGACAATTTGATTGTAAATAGGAGATCAGCAGTGCCCGTTCATTTGCAAGTTCTTATAAGTTTAAGATTTTTGGCTGAAAGAGGTTTTTAAAGAGGTGTCTTACAAGATCACTTTCATCCTGTTAGCCAACCAACTACAAGTAAGCTTATTGACAGAGTGATAAACACTATCCTAGAACATGCCCATAAGTATGTTCGATTTCCAACGTCACCAGCAGAAAGACAGCGTTTGTCAAATGAGTGTGCGTAATAATTGTGCCTAAAATTTTTTGTCTATCATATATTACTTATTAAGATAGTATCATAAATTCCAGATTTCAAGAATTTATAGATATACCAAGGATTGTAGCTATTGTCGATTGTTTCACAGTAAAAATAATACGTCCCTGACAGAATAAAAAAGCTTTTTATAATTACAGGGCAGGCTCATCTTTAAATGTACAAATAGTAAATCCTTGATTACACTCATATTACGCTAACAACAACCCATAATTTTATGTGGATATTAATTTATTAGACTTGTTTGTAGGTTGTTGATTCAAAATATGAGATTTTAAATGTACGATCATGTCCTGGAAGTAACAATGATGAACAAATCTGGAAGTATTCAGAAGCTAGGCAATATTTATAATATTTAAGGACCAATCAAAACATCGTCAATAATGAGAATTATTATTACGTTCTAGGTATGTACTAAGCAATACTTATTTTGGCTAAACAATTAGATTCTGAAAATAAAAGTACATGTGTTGTATTTTACTATGCTTTTTCTAAGAGACAGTGGCTACACTTCTTCTCGGGTGTTGCTTACACCCATCCTGAATGTAGCTCATAGAACTGCAGATTATAATTACACCAATCAATTGACGCATATTCGCTGTCGTATGGACGAGACAATTGGAATTCTAAAAATGTGATTAAAGCTATAAAAAAGCTCGGACATTATATTACCATCCAGACTAGGTGGGGAGAATCATTAATACTTGTGCAATGTTGCACAATTTTCGACGTAGACATGGGTATGTAAGACTTAAATTGCTCAACCTCTAAGCCCATATATAGTTCACTTTTTGCTGTGTGAGGTATGGAAGGCACCACTTTCTACACTTCAAAAGTAGGTACAAGTGAAAAACTGCCGTTTTTATTTCTGGCAAATTTTTATTTCTCTTATTAAAGATTATGTAGTAATATGTTTATACATATATTTTTCATAGTATTATTCACATACAAGTACTCTCCATGGCTTTCTTAGATTAGTTCTTAGTGCAGCTCATTTCCCAGTGTCTGTAAGCGTAGACCACTTTCCACTTGTTGGAGGTGGTTGCAAGTGGCTATCTCCAACATGTGACAAGTAGTGTGCTGTGCGAAAGTAAGCTAATTAACTATATTTATATACAAATATCACTTATCATACATCTTCAAGTATATTTATGTAAATAATACTAAATCTTAACCTTATGATACATAAAAGTACGCCAGAAATGGAAGTGGTGTTTGACTTGTACCTACCTCTAACATGAAGAAAGTGGTGCTGACTACAATTCACACAGTAAGAGGTGAGATAAACAGGCTTTCACACCTCTGTTTCTACAACGCAAATCAAATCACATGTGTCAAAAAAACTTGCTTGTTTGTTTGCAGAGTACCATTTGAGCAGGTACACGAAGATCATATACCACATAATTTTGTATATCAGGGAAGTGATCAACCATAGGGAACGAGAGAGTGAAACCGCATAATTCAACAATATTAAAATATTCTGTGATTATCTTCTACATCGTGATGTATGACATTGCCTGGGACATGGTAGGAAATACATGACAACTTTGCTCATAGTACAAGTTTGCTGTCTATGTACTATAACTTCTTCGACGAGAGACAAAGGGTAACCTGAATCCTTTTTAGTTTCGTGCACAAAAAGTACTGCCTGAGAGCATATATTCGGTGATTTGCTATACAAATAGGCTAACAAAAAATTATTTTAGCAATTGCTTCGAACAGTATTTTATACCTTGGATAGTGTTGACAGCTCAGCTCTAAATCTAAGTAACGTGTTGACGCCCAATCGACAATAATTACGTAATAATGTAAATTAAAAATCCAAGCTCATTGATGAAACTTAGCTATTGAAATTAAATAATTGAAGTGTTTAATAAGATATGTACATATGTATATAAAAGTACCTTTTTTTCAACTGCACAAATCAAATACAATAAAAAGCATTATATTTATTTTATTTATTTTAAGCCCATTGTTTTAGTAACATTTACAATAATTGTACTTCAATACAGAAAACTAAAAATTATGATTACATTAAAAACATGTTTTTATGATAATTAGATTTAAGAATTGAATTCCTTTACTTAGTCAAAAATTTATAAATTTAATATCAATATTAAATTGCATGCAATAATACCTTTTTGAAGGTGCCAATAATTTAGATGGAGCAGATTTTGGTATAGCACCATCACTTTTATTGGAGAATCCGGTGGATTGAGTAGATTTTAAGGTAAAGCTTTTTGTAGATGCTGGAATGATTAAGTCCTTGTAAAAAGGCAAAGTTTTCTCTTGAGGTGCGTTCATCCTTACTATGTCTTCTCCCACAATTTTTGCTACAATTTCATAGTGCTTAGATATTTGTGCTATTCGCCCTTCTCTCAGGTATCTTTTGAAAAGACGAGCTCTATTGGCCAACTTATTCCAGCACTGTAAAAAAAAAGATGGTGTAAGTATTGTAGTTACATAGAAAAATAAGGACATTAACCGTTTGCCACTCGATGGCATTGCGAATTAAACCATTCGTAGTACTGTTAAGCATTACTGTTAGCTCAGCCCATAAACCATCTGCTTCTTCTTCAGCTTCTCCAGATGCTAAATGGACGTTCTCACTCATAAAACGTACGAGAGTGTTTATTTGCTTTCCCGTGGCACGCTTTGAATCTCCCATTCTGAAAGAAAAACAATTTGACTTCAGAAAAAATGTGGCGTTTTTACCATGTTGCGGCGAAAGAAGAAACTTTCCTTCCACGTTGCGGGAAGAAAATTCCGTCTCTTAGTACAGAATTGGTCAAAAATTGTATTCAACCTAAGTATGGGAGGAAACAAAGAAAGCCTCAGATCTTATTTCTGTCAAATGTCTGTGATCTGAGACTTTCTTTATATTTTCTTCTTCGGTAATCAATGTACTATATTTTTTATGAAATTATTTTTTATTAAAATTACTCGTAAAGTTTTCCTTACACTCTTATAATAAATGATCCTTTGCGTTGGAAACGTTAAAAACTTTGCCGTACGGAGAAGGTGTTGAAAAGTCGGTATGCATGCTTTGTTCATGCCATTCACAACGCCAATGCAGATGTAAAAAGGGGGAGCAATATTTCGCAGAATTGTTTTCGTATTGGAATCCGAACAAAGTCGACAGCGCCAATAGTTTGCGTAAATTTACGTAAGGTGGCAGTTTTTCTAAGCCTTGACGCGAGAATAGCCCATGTTTTGCCTTACCCCCACCCTGACGGTTGGTTGGACCCTAATATATAGTTTTACGTACCTAACTACCTATGCGTGGTACGTGGCGCGCTCGCACGCACATACACGCATATATGAATATGTGGTCCAAGAAAATTCGCTCTAAAATCTATTGTTTTTCGGAAAGCTAAATAAATCGTTAAAGTGTGTTACAGTTCGCTTTATGAAAAATTGTTTACACAATATATTCACGAGCGGCTACTGCAACGCGACAGCCTAATTATAAACTTTTGTTGATTTCTGTTAATCACGATAATTGTATTTTTAGTAAAATGACCAAACTTGCTTTCTGTGAAAACGAAAATCATTAGCTATTAAAGTATTTTCTCAAATACTGTAAAAGATTAACTTTAATTTAACTATTGACGTAGTTAAAGACCATGATTATTTAAACACGTTTTAACCAAACTTCAATTGTAAAAAAAAAGGTTAATAGTAAAACAGACTTTGTAATTTGGCATAAAAGTAAGAGCTAATACATGGGATTCCATTTTAAATTTAGCAGACAAACCTACTGTTGATAACCCACTCCCACATAAACAATAACAGGTAGTTATCATAATCATGCCTACCTACTTTCAAAAGGATCTTCAGTTTATTGTGTTATTTCATCCTGACTACTTTTGCAGTATTGAAAGGCGTTGAGTAGCAGTTTCAGTAGGTTACTGTCTTCGTTATCTGTCTCTTGGTCATCATCATCTGTCACTTTGGGATCACAGTGTGAGAACCCTAATTCGCTGATGACATTTATGCCTACGCCGTAATCTCCAAAAATATCACATATCCATTTGTCATCAGGGTCTAGTGATGACTCAGGATCTTCATGACCTGTTTTGTTGTACAACAATAAACATTTAGCTTTATTGTTTTTTGCTGATAATCGCAATCGTTCCCAAATCTATAGCAAATAACTCTTATCAACAGAATTTATGTCAATGACTGAGTATAATATATGAACTATTGTATATATAATTATGTAATTTTTGTTTAAACAAGAGCTTAATAAAAATAATCTACCAGTACGTATACTTTGTAAGTAATAAAATTTTAAGACTTTACTTCTAACCATTCACTCGCAGATTTTTCATACCGTCCAAGTACATTCAATTTATCTGCTAGATCATTTGCGAGCTTTTGAAATAATTGATTTCCTTGGCTGCCTAGTTAAGTTATTTGTCGTCTAGCAAAACTAGTATTGGCCTCTATATAATTGATTCGATGTTCTTTTTACTCTCTGCTCATTTCATCTGTTCTGTACAAGTATGCAATGATATAACTTAATATTTAGTTTCATAAAAATGTTAAAGTGCGTAAACTATCACACGTACAAAAAAAAAAAAAAAAAAAAAAAAAAAAAAAAAAAAAAAAAAAAAAAAAAAAAAAAAAAAAAAATTTGGACATAGCGTTCTAATTACTTATAGTTTAAATTAACGGCCTATGTACTATATTTTATGCACCAGTAAAAATGTTCTCACAATAACGGGAAATTATATATTATTTGAATCATCTTACTTATTAACACGCCGTTGCTTCATTTTTTTAAACCATTAACTGCTCTTGTCAGAG